ATGATTTTACATAACGGCCGACTGGCATGACACATTTCCTCAACGGGAGACATGGACAGGAGCTTCCAACTTCCTTTCCGATTAGCTCTTATGAAGTTGGAGAAAGCAATGGAAATCTTTGTCAGTTTAAACTTCTCTTAACTGCTGTAGTGACATAAATACTTCCTTTTCGTAGCAGTGCTCAAATCGGCAAATTCCCTTCTCCTGCAGGATCTAAAGTTACCAGACTGAAAAAAGTATATTTCCTCATAATGGGGTTTTAGGAGAAAGAAAGTCTTCTAACCTAAACATTTCACGATTTTTATACCAAATTTGGACTATGAATTATTGAAGGGTTTCATTTTTGATAGTTTTATTATCCCACTTATAGAGCAAATTCATTGGCATCTCTTCTTTTATCTCTGTTGTCTTAATTTTGAGCCATGAAGGAGGAGTCTGCAAATCAAACATCTGTGCCAAGAACCTAAACTGAGCCGCATAATAGAGCTGAAAATTAGGGAGCTTCAGACCTCCATCCTCATGCTGCGGCGATAACTTATCCATGCTAAGGCTTGGTGGCTTAAAATTAAAACAATTCATAAAATTGTTGCTTGGACCTAATTATTGCTTTCTCCACTTGATATGTATTCATATTGTTGTATTTTAGTTCCAGGTTCACCAATTCTCTGTGCATGTCCTTAGTTGGGGCAATTTGGTTTTCTCAGGGTCAGAAATGTATCTTTCCAAAGTATTAAGCTCGAAGCTATATTTCTTCTTTATTCCTTTAGTATATGATATAATTTTGCCCCTCAAAAATGCTTTTAATGTGTCCCAAAAGAAATTTAGCCATTTTAAAGGAAGATTAAAGAGGAACGTATGAGGGGAAAATGTTTGTTTCAAGGTGAAATAAATCTATTGCTTCTTAAAACCCAATGAGTAATTACTTAACTAAATGTGACTTCAATATTGACCAAAATGATAATGAATGATATTTCCCCGTAATAAAGCAGCTCTAATATCCATGATCTCGTTCAAGTTCTCTTCCCATAAGTGCACACTTCTTTTCAACTTCAGGGCAGCCTTTTTGTTGACTGCAGCACGTCTGGCAAAGCTACATAAAAAGTGGGTGCCATTACCCAGAAGCAATGGTGAAAATATGTTGAGTTCATTTCCTTTTGTTGGCTGAATAGAGAGCAGCTCCAGAAACTGTTTGCTGAAACATATTTCTCCCCAAGAGCCCATTTTCCCTCCAGGCAAGTATCCAAAAGAAGTTGATTTTATTTGTGTATACACGGAAAGTAAAAGAGAAAAAGAAAAAACCTTCTACAACCACACAGCAAATCAATATTTGGAGCACATTAAAGCTCACAGCTCTGAATAAAGACCTCCATTAGTTGCATTAAGTAGTTTGAGAACAATCGGCTACGAAACTCTGAACGTCCCGGCTATAATTTCAATATCAGAGATCGGCGTTTTAGCAGCTTAGCTCAGTCTTGCATTCGAGCTGCAGCTCGTTGACAATAATTAGGTCTCATTAGAGCCAATGCTGATCCAGAAGAGCTGCACCGAGCGTGGCGTCTCCTCATCAACAGTTGATCTCAGATCTGAACTGAATCATAAACTCAGATATTTATAGTGATGGAATTTAAAATGATATGAAAAGATTGAAGGGCGAGTATGAGAACAGGATTAAACTGCAGCACAGATACAAATCTAACATTTAATTATCTGCATAATGAGGCCTTGCCCAGTTTTCCCCTTCGCCTGGGTTCCCACAGGAGGCAGCATCAAGTTCTCACAGAAACACGCATGTCACCGTCTGTGGCTGCGATTTGAAACTACGAACTGCAGCTTGAACTATAAACATCAGTGCGTCTCATTTCTGCTGCCTCGTTCCAGATAAACAGACACATCAGACAGACAATTAACACTGACAGAGCCAGAAACAGACAGAGAGGCAGGCAGGGAGGGAGACTGCTGATTAGGTGGCGCAAACTAAAAATAAAACGGACTATAAACAATAAGTGTGAAATGAAGGGAGGAGAATCAAAGGAGGAGAGGAAGTGGTGGCATCTCAGAGGTAGAAATGAATGAATCACTACACTGCATTTGTCTAGTGATAATCCCGTTTTACTACACAGCTTTTGAATATAAACAACTGATCACTGTATAGTTATCACCATTTTTTTTTTAAATCAGAAACTCTGCTTGGCTTTAAGAAAGAATAACCACGTGCGTCTCGAGTTTGAAAGTGTGTGTTCTGGAGTTTTTGTGTTCTTGTTCGTGTCTCACCAAATTAATTTGCCCCCCAAAGCTGCCAAATAAGATAACGGCCAATCAGATCTCCCCGCACTCCCTCTCGGCTCCCCAAACTGGATAAGTGAAGGGCAGAAAGTTAATAGAAGCACACACACCATTCATCTGTGTAATGCCAGGTTTAAACAGCTGCGATCTAAATCCCATCAGTTTATGGTAGCTGCTGGCTTACTTCACACCTAACAAAAGCTATTATTTAAGAGCAGAAAAGTCCTCCAGTCCTTTCGTACAGGAGCTCTCTGAGGAAGCCATTTTTTTTTTTAAATCTGATTTATTAAATAAACTTCTGAATGGCAGACAGAGCCTTAGGAGACACTTGCTAAACTAAATAAGAGAAGCGGCTTTCATTTCCTGTGAATATGAGCTCAAAGGAAAAGATCTGAGGGTCTGAACCAATGTGTGTTTAGGATCCATATTTTGCATTTCACAAAAAGAAAAACAGCATTGAGGAAAAAAGATAGATCAAAAGCATTATTTTAAAAAAGCAATCAGATTTTATATCAAGATAAGACGTAAAATAAATTGGTATCTTTCTATGCAAAGTGAACTCAGCAGCAGTTTAAGATGGTTTAGTTGTTTCCACTCTGGATCATTAGGTCACTTTTCAAACTGATTTTCAATATTTAGCTTTAAGTGTAAGGCTGTTCACACCTGGTAGATCAAGAGCATCGAGAACCACTGAAGGAAACGACAAAACCCTCTGAAGACGACACTGAGCGCATCTTACTTCTTCAAGAAATGTAAACAAAAACAAAGTAGTGCCAGATTTTAGCAGTTGTAGGATTTTCCTTTTGTCTTTGGTGAAAAATCACAATCCATGTTTTCCAGTCTCAAACGTTTGTTTTGGTTGTATTTACCCAAAATGCCCCGTTTCCTGCTTTTGGAGTGGTTGTGTTCACATTTGCATTCAAACCGCGTCAGAGTTCACTTCAACCAAATCTGGTCTGCATCAGAGTTTGTTTCTAGGCAGACGAACTAGAGTTTGATTAAAGTGGACTAAACAGGGTTGGTGTGAGCGCACCATAAAACAGAGCCATAAAATGGAGAAAAGCTCATTGTAAATTGTTTTCTGGTAATGTGAGATCAGATGGAAGGATCTGGGTAAGTAAGTCGCTTTCTTTTTTATTTGGATTCAGTTCAATCTCTAACTTGTTGTACTTCCTATATAGTGAAAAGCTAAGGGAGAGTCACTGTCCAGCTGAATGGACAGTGGCAAAAATAGTTAATTTTTAGAATGTGCAAGCAAAAGGTGTGAATTTATTTTAAGAGATTTTATAGATCTTCAGCACGGGGCGTAAATTTGTACACATTCGTAGTTTATTGTTCACAGAACCTGATGGGCTTGTGGTCTTCAAGGCGTACCCCGCCTCTCGCCTAATACTCTATTACAATTCAGCAAGTTCAATATAAACCAGCACTCAAACTAACCAAACATTAAAATAAGTGATCGATAACGTTTTCTCTCAATGCAGGATGCTTCGACAACAAGTTGGTAAAGACTCGTCTTTAATTCTGTGTAAATATCAAACTGCATCACCCGCCGTTTGACATTTACACAACAAATTATGCATCGTTTGACCAAGTCTCCCAACTTGTCGTCAAGCTCCAGCACAAACCCCTCCATTTTCCTACAGCCAACAGGCTGAGAACGCAGCAGACAGGTCATCAGTCCGTCACAGGGCAACATAGATAGATAATAGATAGATAAATCTTTATTGTCATTGTCACAAGAACAACGAAATTTAAAAAGTGCCGTCAGTCAGTGCATATGCTTAAAAAAAAAAAAAAAACTTGTCTCACACTTTACAATACTGTAAAAAATACTTAACAAGTAAGTGATGAAAAAAAAAAATAAACAAAAACTAACAAATAAGAATAGCCACATTCTCACACACATCATTCATGATGATTAATGGTTGTCTATGATTGCATTTAGTTTTGTTATTGCTGTAGGATAAAAACTGTCTCTGAGTCGGTTGGTTCTTGTTCTGAGTGCTCTGTATCGTCTGCCTGAAGGCATCAGTGTAAACAGAGAATGTCCGGGGTGAGAAGTGTCCTTTGTTATGTGTTGTGCCTTTTTAAGACAGCGGTCGCTGTGCAAGTCCTCCAGTGAGGGGAGAGGACAGCCAATGATTTTTTGGGCTGTATTCACAACCTTTTGTAGAGCTTTCCTTTGAGCCGCAGTACTGCTGTTATACCATACGCAGATACAATAAGTCAGTATGCAGGCAGGCAGATCACACTGCACACACTCTAATGTAAGGGGCATTTACGGCAGAGTGGCAAGTTAACCTGGCATGTATGTTTTTGCACCAGAAATAAGCCAAAATACCTAAAGAAAACTCGTACATGCACAAGAAGAACATGCAGGAACACCAGGATTTTCTTGCTGTTCCAATCAATAATCTATCACCGTTTTTCTCTCATTTTTGTTTTTTATGTGTCAAAAGTTTTTCAGGTTGAGGTGAAAAAAACATTTAAACACAAAAGTATTCATGATCTTTAAACCTTCCAGGCTTGTGTAATTTGTGGGGCTCTTATGAAGGAGCACAACAAAGTTGTGTTTGATTGTGAAGTGCATTGAAATGATATATGCTTTTCAGCATTTACAAAAGAAAACACATGTTGCATGCATTTGTATTCAAAAGCCACCAAACTTTTTTTGTTTTCCTTCCACTTTATATTTATGAGCCAATTTGTGTTTGCATGTTTTAATAAAAAATATATTTAAAGTTTAATACGACAATGTGAAAAAGCTGAAGTAGTACGACTACACAAACATTTAACGATGCAGTGATCCATCTAGTTATTCAAAGTACATTCAGAATTAAAAAACTGACATTTAGCAATTTTTAATGTGTTGGCCGCAAGTAAAACCCAAACTTTTGCACGCTGCTTTTCTTTGTGCAACTTTTCTTGCCCTCAAAGTTTCCGGCTGAATGAAGTTTACATGCCTTTACGTCCATTTGGAAGTTGGGGGAAAAAAGGAGAAGTTGTTGACAGGGTGCAGTTTTTGCTGTCACAGTACGACAGGAAGCCCTGAAGTGGTGTTGTGCTAGAGTAGCAGCAGAGCAGCAACAGTAGCCTCTTCACACCGTCACTCTGTTCTTCCACTTCACCGTTTCAGTTTGCTGTAAATGTCAGAATGATTTTCCATCCCAGGTGATGCTGAGCAGTACGGCTACATCACAAAAACAGTCAAATTAAACAGAGCAAACTCACAGCTCCACTTTTAAGGTCTCCCTGTAGTCGTCTGTGCAGGTGAGCAGGACGAGTCGTTTCCCATTTTAATTCAACGTTACTCTGAATAGACAAACAACATGATAATATAGATGCAACAACTGGAGTTTCACTTGTTTTTAGGTGAAATATGACAGCAGAGCCACAAATCAATTTGTATTATATTATTCTCCATAAGATAAAAAAAGAAATCTTTAATCTCCTGCTGCAAAAAATGTTTTATGCACTCAGGTAAAAATTTGAAAGAGTCTGCATCTACAAATAATTTAAAGCTAAAAACACATACTTGACAGGAAATATGAATAAATTATTGATCATGGAGCCGGTGCCAATTCACTATGAATAATACAATAACAATGTGTCACAGTGTTTGCCCTGCTAGCCTGGCGCGTTCACAGCCACAGCTGCCACAGGCTAAACACAAGAGACTGCTGCTCACTGCCATCAGCATTTTCTAAAAAAAACAGTTTCATGTCAGGACATGACTGCATGAAAAGACCTTTCAGTTGCACATTTCACAGAAATCTGATTATTTTGTATAAAAGAATGTGATGGAATAATCTCTGCGTATGTTTGAGTCTGAAAAATGCATCCTATAATGACGAACAAAAAGTCAAGAAGAGTGGAGAAGAAACACGAAACGTTTAATTCAACAGCAGTGGAGAGACGCTCCAAGCAGCCGCCTGCTCACCTTTAGAGCTTCTGCATCGTTTCCACTTCCACAGAACCCCAGGGAGTTTGTTACAGACGTAAACACACCTGGTTCACACCGTTTTTGATCCAACTATGGCTAGTACGCAAGACTCAAAAGATCTGCACTTAACTTTAACAGATGGTGATAATAACACTAGTGGGGTTGGATATAAATGATTGACATATTTAGCTGGGCTAAACCTTATAGATGGGGTGAAGACCTCCAACCGGAGGGCAAAGCAGAGTCACTGCTCCTTTAAATGAAAAGGAGTAAGGAGACGCAATTCAGCCTTTCTGATCAGAATCAACCGCAGGTTTTTCACAAACGTCCCATTGAGAAAAGAGTCAAAGTCAGATGATTGGGTCAAAGTTCAAAGGCCCAGAAGACAACAGGTGCATGAAGCAAAAAGACTTCTAGTACATGCAATTATAACAGAACAAGTTTCTTTTCAAGGATTATGGAAAAATAATGGCCTAAAGGCAGCAAAACATTATTTTGAAATCTAATGGTTGGATCTGGAGCTATACGTTATAATTTCATCAACATGAAGTTTGTCATCCAATAGAAGAAACTGACACCATGTCAGTCAGTAACAGTTTTTGACAAAGAAATGGGTTCAAGTCACACAATACAAAACGTAAAGTCCAAACACGCATCATGAGATGTATAGATAAATGTTACCCATGTAAAAACTGTACTGTAAAAAGTTGAAAATTCTCTCAAACTTCAGCAGAATGTTGGAAAAGTTCAAATTATTCACAATGTCTACAGAGCATGTTGGAAGCAGAACATGATGCTGTGACCAACACTGCAATCAGAGCCCAGGCGCCGACACATTTTAATGACTCAGCACAAACAGGCAGAAAAACACTTGTCACGTGATCACAGCCATCTAGAAATTACCTGGCAACAGCAAGCAGAAACAATCACCAAGCAACCGGAGGCAGAAAGGGAGAGCAGAAAAGAGGTGGGGCTGGACAGAGAAGGAGGGGTGGAGGAAAAGACAAGAGGAAGAAAATGAGGATGGCGAAACAGACAGGAGAAAAGAATGAGAGAAGGAAACTCAGGAGAACAAAAATAAGATGAAGGGAAACGTGGAGAGGAAAAAGAAATGAGAGAAAGAAGAAAATTTAAGTGACATAATTAGTAAGGATAAACAACCCATAAGGTACTATAGGAAAAGAGGAAAATAGAGAGAAAGCAAAAAGCAAATGTGATGGAACCAAAAAACAGAATTAAACAGGAATACAGCAAAA